GGGGCCTCAAGACTTTTCATGTCAATTAAAAAGCATATTCTGTGTGGATTGTACCGAAGAACGTCGATCAAAGGCATACAAAAATGCAAATTTGCAGTTTCCAAGGGCCCTCTATGTGTGTATGTGCGTGCATGCATGCATGCGTGGTGCGTTTGTTTGTTTGTGTTTGTATGTGTGAGAGAGAGAGAGAGAGAGAGAGAGAGAGAGAGAGAAACCTTTTCTCCGAGTTCACTGAGTAGACGAGAACGTAGCCGTTGATGTTGATGAAGTACGACTGCGGGATGATGGAATACTCGTCCTGTCCTGCTGTGTCCACCACATGAAGGTCGTACTCCTGACCTCCGACCCTGGTATGCTTGGAGAAAGCTTGAGGAATAAAGATAAGAGTGTTCCGTTTATTACTGAAAACAAGTCTCAAATAAATATGTTGAGTTGTATTTTAATTTTGCTAGAGAAACTTAAGCAACAGCACTACAAAAAAGAAGTATTCGTTACCACATGACAGCCCAAACAAATGACCCCCAAAATGCAGTAAAGGAAAAGAAGACAAGATGAACACTGGACAAAGAGCTTGATGGTAGCAAAAAGAGCCATGTCATGACAGTCTGAAACTCTCAATCATTTTAAAATAGATCATAATAGGAACATGATTTTCACACCAGTTAATTATTGATCAAACTCTGTCTGAACTTAAAGATAACAAACTTGAAAATGTAGTATCCCACCTGTATTTTTATCAGAAAAATATTAAACTGCATTCTCTGAGTGTATCAATGCAGACTCAATCCCTTCCTAAGCAGAGTTCACAAGCTCATTTATATTCAACCAAGAAGGCCACACCTCTTTTATACAGACTTCAAAAGACATGTTTGCAAACAAGTCAGATCTTCACTTACAAAGGGCAATTGCAAAAATCTGACTCAATGATGTAACAGCTCCGTCTTATAATTTCCTTTCTTCTTCTTCAATTTCACTAAGCTCCTGTTTTCCATCTTTAAAAAAACATTTCTATCTAAAAGGGAAGGCCTTGGAACAAAAACAACACCTGCTTAATAGATGTACACTGCCAAATCCACCCGTCCAGCTATGGTTTTTTTTACTTAAAAAAATAAACGATGTATAACACTTAATTTTTCAGAGCCAGAGTGTCTTTTTTTTTTCCACTAGCGAAAATAAAAATAAAAATAATTGGCCTAAAAAGAAACGAACAAATAACAGGCTCCAGCATTATATTTTAGTGTGAATTTTTGTAAATCCAACTGAAAAAGGAAGTGGCTATCCTCACCCACGGTGAGAATAAAATTACGATCTACGTCTCACCCCGGGTGAGACTTGTCACCGGTGGCTATTCTCACCCGACGTGAAATAAGACCTGTTTTTCCTAATTTTGGAATACTTTCTATCGGTGTGGATGATCAATTGGATAAAAACAAAGAAAGAATTACGTTATAGCACAAAAGTAAGCTAATTTGATCGTCTACAAAGATGCTATGGCTATTTCACTTTTCGAATCAAGCCGAACTACGCGGGTCGCCATTTAGTTTTGCCCGGAAGTTCTCGCGCTACTCTTCAATCTCTCTCTCTCCACTGCCCACAGACAAAATTGAATGCTTTTAGTTTTAGGCTAACAGAAGTAATGGAACGTACAAGCTCACGGCACAGAATTCTACAATTTTTCTGTTATCACAGTGTAGAATTCTGTGGTTCAGGGTGAACGCAAAATTGGATGGCCTAGATCTAGGCTATAACGGTGAACGCACTCCGGGTGAAAATAGCCAAAAGACTCGCCTGCGCCATTCTCAACCGGGGTGAGTTTAGTAGTAGTATAAGGTTTTACGGCGCTCGCAACTGCTAAGGTCATATGAGCGCGCGAAACACAAGTTGTTC